GGCGCTTCTTGGGCCGTCTTAGGCGCCTAAGACAGCCCAAGAAGCGCCCAAGACGGCGCCCACGACGGCCCAAGACGGCCCCAGAAGCGCCCAAGACGTCCCAAGAGCGCTCTAAGAGAGCCCAAGACCGCCCAAGGCGGCCCCAAGACGTCCCAAGAGGCCTCCACGACGCCCCAGGAGGCGCCCACGAGGCGTCCCAAGAGGGCCCCACGAGGCCAAAATCATTGATTTTCTGAAGGAAAACGTTCATTTTTAGCATACACGGCTTGCCCCCAAGACCGCCCAAAGACGGCCCAAGATGTTGCCAAGAGACTCCCAAAATAGCCCAAGAGGGCGCCAAGACGGGCCAAGAGGCGTCCAAGAAGTGGCCAAGACGGCGCCCAAGACGGCCCAAGACGGCCCAAGAAGCGCCCAAGACGGCCCAAGAGCGCTCCAAGAGAGCCCAAGACCGCCCATGGCGGCCCCAAGACGTCCCAAGAGGCCTCCACGACGCCCCAGGAGGCGCCCACGAGGCGTCCCAAGAGGGCCTCACGAGGCCAAAATCATTGATTTTCTGAAGGAAAACGTACATTTCTAGCATATACGGCTTTTCGCCTTTCATGGCGTTGAAGACGGTCCAGGAGGCCCCAAAGACCGCCCCAAGACGGCCCAAGATGTTCCCAAGAGGCCCCCAAAATAGCCCAAGAGGGCGCCAAGACGGGCCAAGAGGCGCCCAAGACTGTCCAAGAGGCCCCTAAGAGCGCCCCAAGAAGGCCCAAGAGGCCCCCAAGAGGGCCCAAAAACGGCCCAAGAGGGCGCCAAGACGGCCCAAGAGGCGCCAAGACGGCCCAAGACGGCCCCAGGACGGCCCCAAGAAGGCCCCAAGAGGCCCCCAAGAGAGCCCAAAGACGGCCAAAGGCAGCCTAGTCCCTTCACCCCCGCCACCCAGAAGCTCCCAGGAGGCCCCAAGAGGCCCCCGAGAAGCCCCAAAAGGTCCCCAAGAGGCACCCAAGAGGCTCCCCAAGAGCCCCCCAAGAGGCCCATAATACTCCCAAAGGCTCTTAGCACCGCGGCTCCCAAGAGCGAGCGGTGACGTAATCGAGCTGATGAGACCAAAGCTCCCAACAGAGAGCTGCGGCGTAATAAGTTCTTGCAGCCAGGGCACAGGGACGGGCGGCAACGCGTGGACAACGAGCGGTCCACGCAAGGACAACGCGGGGTTCTGGACAGCTGGCAGCCCAAACGCGGAAAACGCAACGCGACCCGACCGCCCCCTCCAAAACAAGAAACGCGCTCAAAGAAAGCTCCGCGACTCTCCGAGGCTGAGATAGGACAAGAGCGAGGGGAAGGGAGTCAATAAGAGGTGTAAGAGCGGACGAGCCAGCGATCCCGTGCGCTCTGAAAGTAAGTGCGCTTTCCGTCCCCGTGCCAAGCAGGTCTAATGGCCTTCGGCCCATCCCGCCACCGTGCCTCGGGTCGTGGGTATGAAGCCTGTTGGATGGATGTTCGTTGGGATCTGGTGGGAGGCTTCTCGGGGGCCTCTTTGAGGCAGAGTTTGGAGCGACCTGGAAAAATCGAGACGGCTGATGTGTTGGCCCCCCTGACCTGTCAACCATCTGTCTAGGTCTTCATCCTTCGTCGTTTCTTGATAACCTGGGGCCCCGAACTGGCCACCAACCGGCCCAGACTGAGGAAAACCAGCCGTCTCTAGATCCTTTGGACCCGCCCGATGCCCGGGATGGAGTTAGGAGGATGGATCGGACGTGGCTAGGACGAGGATCAACTAGTTCCATAGTGCTCGGGAACGCTGTCATAGCGTTCCAGAACACCGTGAGAAGGCCGCGGCGCCCGAGACATCCTCCAGAGTCGCGGGATCTCAGAGAGTTCCTCGATTTATCCTCACTCGGAGGTTGATAGACCTCCTACCCTGACACGTCGATTAGCGAATTGGCCGTTTTCGGTTCGCATGAGGGCGTTGCGGCTGTCATATTTGCGGGTCCAGGTCCGTCGGTTTCGGTCCTAGGTCGTTTTCACTAAAGGGTGGTTTACTAAAGGGAGGTTTGTCCACCGCCGACTCACCCGATTTTGTCCTCGTCCTGTCTTCGTCTTAGTGGAGGCGGGAGGAGGCGCCGCTTTCTAGAGCCGCCCGCCCAGGGCTTTCGCGTCCGGCCCCGGCGGCTTCCTCTCCGTGCAGGCGGGAGTCAGGCGGCCTCGCCTGTCGGCTTTCTGGAGGGTTTCTCCGAAGGGCTTGGACGACCCGTCCTCCTCCCTCCTCCTCCTCCTCCTCCTCCTCCTCCTCCTCCTCCTCCTCCTCCTCCTCCTCCATCTCCTCGTCCCCATCCCCCTCCTCTTCCTCCTCCTCCTCCTCCTCCTCCTCCTCCTCCACCTCGGGTCGCCTGCGGCCCTGGGGGAAACCGTGCACGGCTTCCTCGAGCAGGATGGATCGATGATCGAGGTTCGAGGCGCAGCGGGGATGGAGGTCCGAGAATCAATATCGTTAAGGCCTGACGGCCAGTGCCGCCGACCCCGAAGACGACGGTTCGATGATGACGACAACAACGACGACGATTACGACGACGAAGCGCTGATGGCTCTGCCACAGTCTCGGGTCAGGGGGCGGGAGGGGAAGGTGGATGAGGAGGAGGAGAAGGAGGAGGAGGAGGAGGAGGAGGAGGAGGAAAAGGAGGATGAGGTCCGAGGACCAATGTTCCAGACGCTTCGCGTAGCGCCACCATCCGTAGCCCCTCTGGCTCAAGCCGCTCTGGCTCGAGTCCGGAGCAGCAGGGCGCTCTCGCGGCGGCCGCGGCGGCCGCTATGTCGTGGCAGAGTCGCCGCTGGCGCGCCGCGGACCCGCTGCAGGCGGCCGATCCGTGGGCGGGAGCGGCTGCCGCGGCAGCTCACTGGCATGGAGACGGCGGCCGCGGCGGGGCACTGCCGCAGGACGCTGCCTGGCGAGGGTGGCATTGATCACCCGGCGGGCAGGCGACGCCATTCGAGTCGCCCGCGGCCCGCCGCCGCCGCCAGCGCGCCGCCGCGGCCCAGAGACATGGGGGCGAACGTGCTCTTGGTCAGCGCAGCTGGAAATCCGAGATGAGCCTCGATTCCCTCGGGAGGTTGAGGACGCTGCTGAAGGACATCGGCAAATTGGAAGAGCAGCTGAGCCCGGACGAACGGCGGCAGCTGGAGGCAGGATATCAGCCTCGAGTAATCTCGACGGGCGTGGTTGACAGCAGGAAAGCGCCCCACACCCAAAGATGCTGCTGGCCGAGGCCGGGCGGGCCCTCGTCCGAGCACAGTGTATGACTACCACCACCAATATCGAGAATAAGCTACGATGCGATGTGGTGCAGTTTTGCTCTGGTGAAAAGCCCGCAGCCCCCCTCCCGCCGCCAGCGGCAACCGGGCTGCCCCCTCTCTCTTAAGGACCGAAACAGAATTCATCAAAGCACGCGCGGTGGTGGTGTGTATAATTTTGGATACCAGGGGGAGCGATCTTTGTACACCACCACCGAGAAGTGCTGTTTCTGCTTCAGGAGCTCCCCATGCCACGGCGCCTGCGAGCTGCGCCGCGCTCCTTTTCGCCGTGGCGTCGCAGCGTCGTCTGGCATGACCCTGCCCCTAATCCTTTCTCCGGAATATTACTGTTGCGGGCGGTGGTGGTGTATGCAAATTGACCTCGCACCTCGAGCGAGGCACATCCGTTGGCCATGCCCGGGCCGCATGCGGCAGGTCTCATCGAACTACAGGTTGCGGAGGTGAACGCGGGGTTTTCTGCTCGCTCTTCTTGGGTATCTTTGCAGACATCCCTCATTGCCTCGGGGCGCGACCTTGGCCAGTGCCCTTGCTGCGGGACGTTGGAGCTTGCGCAGTTGGCCATGTGCAACTGGTGCGGCGTCTGGTCAGCTCCCTCTACCCCAGGTGGTCCGCCTCAGGGGAGTTCTGCTGCAGCGCACGCGGCTGCCGACACGCAGGCTGGAGGGGGGGGGTGATGCAGTGACCGTGCCTGATGCCTCAGGGCCACTGGGGCTTGCCGCAGGTGCGCCCGCGGGGGCGGCTGAAGATGAACGCAGCAAGTTATGTGCGCAGACTTTTGTTTCGGGGGCTGGCGAATCCAATGCGCATCAGGACGGCGACCCAGAGATGCGAGCTTCTGTTGAAAAGGAAGAAACGGGCGCCCGGGCAGGCGCTCCGCTACTGACGGCGGTCGCCTGCATCAGCGCCGCCCCCGCGAAGCCGCTCAACGTTTTGCGCCGTCCGCAGCGGATCCCCGCGCAGCAGCTCGGGTACACCTACGAACATGTTTTTGGGAGCTTTGCCAGAGAAGTTGGTGCCGCGTGGATGCTCCTGGGTGGGCCGTGCCTGTCGAAACAATATCAAGTTGATGATGCAGCTCACAGGTTTGGCTGGGTCGTCGCCATGCCCACGGTGCGGCAAGTGTATGTTCTCACGAATCGCGCTGCGGACCGAGCCTCCCTGAGCCGGTATAGGACGGAGCTCGCGCAACACCAGGTCCAGATGCGTTTCGAGGCCGTTGAGGACGCGCGAGATCTTGAAGAGGCAGAAGCACTGGAACTAACCCAGGGCAAGCCGCACGCTCGCGAACTTCGCATCGGCAACTCTTTGGGCTATTGGCTGGTCCAACTGGGTGATGGGATCCACTGGTTCTCAAGTAGGCAAGGCCATCTTCCCTTGTCGTGTATGACCTGGCCACTCGCCGCACTGCTGAACGTGGCCGTTTGGGTCGACGACCCTGTGATGCGTGGCAAGCCTGATGCGGTGATGGCTGCAAGGGCCACCTTTGATACTGAAGCTGCTGCAAATATTTCCGGCCCTCGCTTGCGAGAGCTTCTCCGCCAGCTACGAGACATCGAAATGCAGCCCTATCACGAGTTGGATCCGCAGCAGAAGCGTAAATTGTTGCGACGCCCTTCGCTCGAAGTGGCTCGGCCAAAATGCAGGGCAGGCTGCGGCCCCGCAGCCGCCCACCAAACATCGGTGGCCAGAGACTGCCCCTGGTCGAGGCGGGGCACTCAACGGAGGCGCCGCTTGTCCTGCAGATCCCGCCCAGAGACGTCGGCCGGGTCATCGGCGTAAGCGGGGCCAACGTTCATGCGATCGAGAAGGCTTCGGACACGAGGATCGCGGTGAAGTCTCCGGCGGCCTCGTCGCGCGCCCCCCAGAGCGCCGAGGTCCACGTTGAGGGCAAAGGCATGGCCGTGCACAAAGCGTACGCGATGCTTGCAGCGGTTGTCAATGGCGCAGCAAGTGGTGACGCCATATCCCCGTGCAGCTGTGAACCGGCTGCGCGATCTTGCGACGGAGGTCCGGGCTCCGAGCGAGATCCCGATGCAGCCGCGCCGCTCCGGCAGCAAGGCGCCGCTCGGGGCTTGAGGTTGGATCCGGCCCTCGGCCTCGCGCCAGGCGAGCCCGCCGGCAGGGAAGCGTTGCTGTCTTGTGGGGCCAGGTTCGCCTACGTGAGTGACAGCAGCGGCGCCGTCAGCGAGTATCTGTTCCTCGGTCGCGCGCCCGGCTGCTGGGCCTGGATCACTTGGTCCACCGACGCTGCGGGCTCCGAGTTCGTCTGGGACATCGTGGGTGCAGCGTCTTTGGCCGGCTTGGATGGTATCCAGGTCCTGGCGGACACGTCTGTTACTTCTAATATCGACGGCGCCACCGTGGTGGCGGAGAGGGACATCGACAACGATGGTATCAATTGGATCTGCAATAGCCTACAGGCGAGGACGACGATTGGACATTGTGGGGGCCCTCCGCCAGGAGATTGATCAATTGTTGGTTGCTGCAGCGCCCCTCTCGCGGCGCCGGCAGACGGCGCAGTCGTCGAAGCAGTTCGTGCGGTCAACCTCCGACGATGTCGCGCGGCCAGCACGGTCGCCATAGGTTGCGGAGAGGCTCGGCTGCCTCGCGGGGCGCCTGGAGACGAGCCGCGCCACGCCGCGGCCTCTGACCTCGCCCTGACACCCCGCCGACGCGGACGCGGGCGCAGCCCGAGCCAGGCGTCCAGCGGCGATGGCAGCGACAGGTCGCAGAGCAGCAGAGGCATCGCCGATTTTGTGGGCAGGCCAGCCGGCCTGTCAACGCGGCGTGGGCGGTCTGCCAGTGCTTCCAGGGCTCCGGGGGTCACCTCCAGAGGCGCGTCTTGGGGCGAATCTGTACTTGAAGTGGACAGTTTGCTTGATCAAGTTGATGCTTTCTGCTCACCTCGGACGAGGGCGGCGCCCTGCTGTCGATCGTCGGGGGGAAGTTCAAGGTCAAGGGAGCGCTCGTCGCAAAGTACTACCAGATGGAGGACTCGTCGCGCCGTGACGCATGTGTCCATTCACCGCTAGGCTATGGGACTCCACGCCTTTACATGCCTGTACCCCAGTGCGAGGCTGACCAGGTCGAGGGCGTTTGCTCCGAGTACGGCGGCTTCCACAAGGTGGTGATGCTACCCGGGCGGCGCGGCACCACCCGCAGGGATGTCGAGGTGGAGTTCGATGGCAAAATGTCGGCACGGCATGCACTGGTGAACCTGATGTCGGCCAAGCCCGCCTGGGTGGTCAAGCACGCAAGACGCGCGGCTCCCCAGGTCGATGAGTGAGTTTCTTCTTCCCTCTCCTCCCGCTTGCTTTCCTTTCTCTTTCCCCTCCTGCCCCTCCCTCGTCCCGTCTGTGCTCTGTGTGCAAGTCCGCTGGACTGCATGCTCTCCCCCTTCCTCCCTCTTCCCTGCCTTTGCGTGTGTGTGTGTGTGTGTGTGTGTGTGTGTGTGTGTGTGTGCCGCCTTTTCCTTCCTTGGCTCTCGGCTTCCCTCGGCTCCCCCTTCTCTCTCTCCGCGCCTCCTTCCTTGCCCTTGTGGTGTGGTGTTTCCTCCTCTTCCCCAGCTTCCCCTCCCCCGTCGGTCGGCCCGCCCGTCCCCCCTGTTTGGTCGTCTCCCTCCCCCCCCGCCCTCTGGCCTTGGCTGTCGCTCCCGGCTCCCCCGTTTCCTTTGCTTGCCCTTGGCCCGCCTTGCCCTTGTCTGGCCGGCTGTTGTCGTCCGAATTGTGTCCAGACTGGCCGAGAGAATTGGCAGTGATGTAGGTGTGCTACCTTCTCTTTAGCGAGCGTGCTGCTTGCGGTGTGGCGATGCCGCCTGCTGAAGCGAGACTGGGGCTTCACATCGCTGCCGGATTGCAGCGCTGCTCCTCCTCCGCCTCCTCCTCCTCCTCCTCCCTCCGTTCCTCGTCCGGGGATTCGTGGTGCCGAATTGCTGCGTCCAGGGGCTGGCTGTGCCAGGGCGCGAGCGGTTAGACGCTCGCCTGGCACGACGCCCAGTCGAGACGCCCAGCGTGGGTGGCCCCCTCTTCCTCTTTCTCGTCGTCGTCCTCGTCGTCGCCGTCGTCCTCATCCTCCCTCGTCCGTGGATCCGTGGTGCCGATTTGTTTCACTCCTCAGGGGCAGGCAATGCCAGGGCGAGACGCCCGCCCGATTCGCCGCCCAGCCGGCACGCTTGGCGAGGGTGATCCTCATTTTTTTGTTCTTCCCCGTCCCTCCTGCTGCTGCTCCTCTTCTTCCTCTTCGCCCGTCCGTGGATCCGTGGTGCCGATTTGTTACGCTCAAGGAATAGATAGCCAGGGCGACAGCGGCGAGCCGCCTGGCACGCCGCCTGGCCGAGACGCCCAGCGCAGGTGATCCTCCTCTTCCTCTTCCTCCTCCTCCGCCTCCTTCCTTCTCCTTTTTCTTCCTGAGTGCCTGGGCTGGGGCACGGATGAAAATGTTGGCAGGCTGTGCTTAGCCCGCCGAGCGCCTTGAATCGTCCGCCTGGGGATTCGTGCCTTGAATCAGGCATGGCTGGATGAGCTGGCAGGTCCCTGAAAGCTCAATGACGGCGGGCGTCGAGGCAAATCTGTGTTGTGCATGCGGTGCCGCTGGCTGAAAGCCGCCGGCGCCGCGACGGGCAAGACGACTTGAAGCCCCCTGGCCTCCTCCGCCTCTTCCTCCTCCTCCTCCTCCTCCTCGTCCTCCTCCTCCTCCTCCTCCTCCTCCTCCTCCTCCTCCTCAGGGGTGCCTGGGCACCCGCGCGGCGTCCTGGGGGAACTTGAGCCTGCGTAAATCTACCCCTAGTTGGGGGGGTAGCGGGTGCTGTTCGCTAAACGGCCCGGGTTCGCCGCCCGGGCGCCAGTCTCAGCACTCGGGTCACCCCGCGCCCAGGGTGGTCGGGGGAGGCTCATGGCGCGTGCCACCTGGTCCCCCTTGGGCTAGGGGACTTGTGGGGGTGATCCTGGGCACCACTAAGTCTCGCGCCAGGGGGCCCACCTGGCGGCCGAGGGTGTTCCAGAGTCCCGACCTGCAGAGCAGGCGGAGGCTTGGGCGGAGGTGGTGGCTTGGCTCGGCGCAAGGGCGCCGACCTGAGGCGGCCAGAGGACCGTCCTGTGGCTGAGCTGTGAGGCGACGTAAGACTTAGCATCTGTATTTTTCTGCTGGGGGCGGCAATGCCCGCCGTAGGTTCCCCCAGGAGAGCCCCAGATACATAGGCTGGGGTCATCGGCGCTAGCCGCGTCAGAAGGCTCTCGCTTCTGCCCTCGAGCGAAAAATCAGGGGTGCCTGGGTTCTGGCATGGCCGCAAGAGATGTGCTTGCCGTGGCAGTGGAGTGCCGCTGGCGAGGGGCACCGCAGGCCCAGAGGCCGCGAGTGCCTACGGCGTTTCTTCCTCCTCTTCCTCGCCCTCCTCCTCCTCCTCCTCCTCCCTCCTCCTCCTCCTCCTCCTCCTCCTCCTCGGGGCGTACCCCTCGAGAGCGGATTCAACTCCGAGAGGGGAGCGAACAGGATTTGTGATGTTTTTGGCGGTGCGGTGCCCTGTCCGAGGTGCCCTGTCGGGATATCGCCCCCCGGCAGGGACCTGCAAAAAAATCGTCCTGATGGGCGCCGCGCCCCAGCCAGTTTTTCTGTTTCGAAGTCCTCGCGCCGTATTTTCCGGCCGAGGCTCCAGGGTTGTTGCCTGGAAGTGGCCATTGCCCGTGCAGGCTTGCGGGGTTGTGTCCGTGTGAGCGCTGCGCGTGCCAAAAAAGCAGGACCAATGGCAGGGGGGGCCCCCCGCAGCCAATTGGCTTGACGGGCGCAGCGAAGAGGCAGGAGCCAGCCCCGCAAGTGAGGCAAGTCAGGGAGGCGTCCACATGGGACAGGTAGCAGGGCCCCCCTACACCGCACGCCACGGCGACATCTCCCAGCCGGCCTGCGAGGCGCCCGGCAACTCGGGGGTCAAGGAGGAACCGCAGACCCACGCAGCAGCAGTCGAGCAGAACAACGCCGGACAGGCTTGCAAAGCAGAGACTGAGCCACGGGAGCCCAGGAACCCGACGCCAGACTGGAACGAAGACGCGGGGGCAGCGGCCGCGGCGGCTAGGGAGAGGAGCCCAAGCAGAAGCACGGAGCCAGCGGCCGCGGCGGCTAAGGACGAGGACCCCCCCTCGCCTATGGCCAAAGGAAGTCTCCATCCGTTCCCCGCTGGCGCCGTGCGCGCAGGCCGTCGCCCAGGACGCAGCCAGCGGGGGCGGCGAGCAAGGCCAGCCGCGCCCCCAGAACGCCTCGGACGATGCCGCGCAGACCAGCGCGCCGTCCTGAGGCCAAGTAGGTGCCAGGGACACCGCGGGTCCATCCCACCACCCTGGCAGCAAGGGCGCACCCGCTCAGACACTGAGGCTGGGGAAGGGAAAGGGCGCGCAGCGAAGTCGCCCAGGTGGAACCCAGTGCGACTGGAACCTAGAAAGGAATCCAGGAAGGGCAACAGCGCCGACCGCTGGGCGTTCGGAGACCTCAAAGACCCCCTGACCGGCGGCCCCATGTACGAATGCTCCCTGGCAGCCGCGGTTCTGGACAAGATGGAAGAGACCCATGTCAAGATTGCGCGTCTGCAAAAGGCGCTCGGAGGCGCCTTCAACGCTGTTTGGCACGCGTGGTCCAGGCGCGCGGCACAGGGTAATGAAGTCGAGGGGGGCTACCAAAACAACCCCCAGCTCAACGCACCCGAGACGCGCTCGAGCTTCGTGGGCGCTTGGGGGCGGGCCGGCTTCGACGCGTGCCGGATGAACGACGAGCACAGGCTCGAAATAGACTGGGACGCCATCCGCCGCAAACGCATGAAGGGCGCCGGGCGGCACGGTGGAGTATCACAGGCCCCCTGGGCAACGGGCAGTCGGGGCCCGCCGGCCCCCTGGTCAACAGAGACCCGTGGGGGCGGTCGGTCAGAGGCCCAGGCCCCCTGGGCAGTGAACGGTCCCACAGGTCGCTCCGATCAATGGCATGGCTGGCAGGGCTGGTCAACATGGGGCAGAGACGACCCCCCTTGGGGCGACGCCGAATGGAAAGGGGGGGGCAAGCGCTTCCCCCAGCGTGACGATCACTGCGTCTCCGAAAAGCGAGGTCTCTGGTGGACTTGAAGCAACGCGGCAGCGTCTCGGAGAAGGTCAGCCGCTGCCGCGCTGCAGACTCCCGCGGGGAAAGTGGCCTGCGAGACGGCAGGCCCCGAGGCCACCCCGCCGCTAGTGGTGCTGACCTCGGATTTACCTCGCAGCCGCCCAGCCCCCCCATCGCTCCGCGCGCAATGGCTGGCGGCGCAATTTATCCCCTTGTCATTGTGCGCTGGCCTGCCATTGGGCCCGTTTCACCTCGCTGCGCCCGGCCTGTCGGCCGTGATACCTCGGGGCTGCCTATCGCTCCGGCAGGCGGCCGCCCCGCCCCCCCCCGGCGCAGCATAGCTAGACAGCCTCGGCTGGTTAGATGCGCGTGGGCGACGCGCGGACGCCGCAGCCCACGCGTTCCCATTTTCGGGCCTCCCCGACGGGGCCCGCCCCTCGGCGCCCGACACATCTCGCCCCCTTTTGCCCCCGTCTCGTGACTGTAGAGGCCCTTGGCCGCCTTGGCAGCGGCTAGTTTGAAGAATGCCGGCGGCCGTCAGCCACGCCCCTGGCAGCTCCTCCCGACAGGAACCGACGAGACCGACGCTCCCCCCCTGCCAGGAAGCAGGCTCGGGTAGGGTCCAGCATCGGTCCAGAGGCTGACCGCGCCGTCGGTGCCTGGCGGGGCCCCCGCAGGCCCTGGCAGTCGGGCGGCCGCGTGGCAGGAGCGGGGCAGCTCCCCGGCGCTGCAGACGGGCCCACTGGCAAGGCCGAAGCGCGGCAGCTTCCGTGGGGCGTCCCTACCCATTCCGTAGCAGCCGCAGCTGCTCCCTGGCTAATATTAAACTCTGAGCAGCCGTCAGCTGCACCCTTGGTAACATGGGCATATTTGCAGGTACAGTGATGCAGGCAGGCCGCCGACGCAGGGCCCAGCAGGTCGACAGTGGACAGTGCTACCCGTCGGGAAGCTCTGCTCGTACATTGTCCTGGCTGTGTGGTTGCCAGATGGCAGCGCAACCCTGGGCCCATGAGTGCCCCCGCGCGTTCCACTGGACGTGGGCTGCTATATAAATTCAGTGCGGCCGTCAGCCGCTGCCTGGGCACGCTCCCCTGGACGTGTGCTCCATGCGAACCCGTGCGGCCGTCAGCCGCTCCCTGGCTCCCGCTCCTCTCCCTTTTCTCTCCTGGCGCCGGGTGTCCCTGTCGGGCCCCTACACGTGGCCGGCTGGTG